AACTTTTAAGCCTTGAAAGTCAGTTTGTAAACACTGAAGAATGTTAATATATTTGGCCTACTCACCAAAGTATTAGTCTTGGGGTGCTAAAACAATACTGTACTATGTTCAGACAATAATCACAATCACACATTTGCAATGACAATTTTTCTATTATTAAAATAATTAAAAATATACCAAAGTAGAGAGATTAGTATAATATGCCTATCCCATCCAGGCACAGTGGCTCAGACTTGTAATCCCAGCACTTTGGGAGGTGGAGGCAGGAGGAACACCTGAGATCAGGAGGTTGAGACCAGCCTGGCCAATATGGTGAAACGCTGTCTCTACTAAAAATACAAAAATTAGCCAGGTGTGTTGGTAAGCACCTGTAATCCCAGCTACTTGGGAGGCTGAGGCAGGAGAATCACTTGAACCCTGAGGCGGAGGTTGCAGCAGCACCAATGCACTCCAGCCCAATGACAGAGAAAGACTCCATCTACAAAAAAAAAAAAAAAAAAAAAAATTGCCTATCCAGCTTCAGCAGTTAGATGCCAGATGTAGGTGATGGGAAGGAAGGCAGCAAATCACACTGCCACGTGTGTACCTATGCAACAATCTTGCATGTTCTTCACATGTACCCCAAAACCTAAAGTGCAATAAAATATATAAATGGGGATTAAAAAAAAAACAGTTCTTCTTAACAAATGACTAATTTTGTTTCATTTTGCTTTTACTTTCCCTCCAGGCTTCATTATTTTGCGGCAAATTCCAGACACATTATCTCTCAAATTTTCCTCAATGTTTTTTAATGACAGACATCCAGGATGCTTCTGGTTTGGGCCTAGTATGAATATAGTTGATAAGAAGAGTCCTGAAAAGTCTTAAAACCTAGGATTAGGTTTTAATTTGATTGCTAGGTCATGAGGAGATGTCGGTTTGTTTTTATTAAGAAACCACCAGGGCTTCTTGCAAAGTTTGTTGAGAGTACTGGGTGCTCCAAACATCTTTACCAATACTCAAAGTCAGTATTTTATTTTAGCTATCATTAATAGATGGGTTCTGCTGAATTAACTTACAAACATGTTTAATTTCTCTTGTGTTTTAAAAACAACTAAACTACATAATCCATAGACCTTATTTTAGGTTTGTTTTTTAGGCAAAAAATGTGTTTTAAAAAAGAATTAAAACTAAACTAAAATAAACCAATGTGTAATTCTCATGTCATTAAAAAAAAAAAAGCATTTCTGCTGTAATGTGTTACATTAAGAAAGAAGCTGAAATTTCTTTACATCAAAATGCTATAATGGAAAGGTATACAGAGTACAAAACTGTGGACTTAAAAATCATAAGGTATATAAGGAAAACAGAGTTGGAACAACCATTAAAAATCTACATGGCTTTGTAAATAGAGGACAAACAAAATAATCAGCACAACTAAACTCCCCCGGGCATGTGCACTGGAGTCCCTGTCAGATGGTGTCTTTCAGCCCTCAATCCTGAGCAACTGATTGCCTTCTTCATCAGAAGGGCATATAACTTCCAAAATAGATTAGTTTTATCAAAACTAGATATCAGATGCCGGGGAAAGCTTAATTCTGCCAATGGGTCATTTCAGCATGGGAGGCAAAACGTCTTCACAGCCTCTTCACTCAGCTGCAGCTTCACCATCACAGCACTGCAGAAAGTGAAGCAGCTCAGGGGTCAATCCTCTAAACCGGTCACTTCTCTTCCCAAAGGAAGGTACTGCAGGATTTTCAGCTCCTTTCTTAAAATAATCACACTTTCTCTTTAATTGTGATTGCTTTTTAGTTCAACCCAGAACATCAAAGTGCTGGGGGAAAGCACATATGAAAATACAAAGCAATTTCTAATTTGCATCAACATTGTTTTCTATCTGATGAGGTATGAACTGATTCCCATTAAGGAAACACACACTGCAGTAAAACAAACTGTCTGAGAAAAGCCCATTTTCAAAAAGAAATCCAAAACTCACTGAATTTAACTCTTGCAGCATGAAACTTTGTCCAAGCTGTCTCACTTCTTGGTCAATGTATCAGTATATTCTATCAGTTATTTCTACTTCATCTGAGGCTTTTTTTTTTTTTAACTTGTCATAGACTAAGATAAACTTCTCTTTTCCAAATTTGACATATACAAAAATGTGGATTAATTTTTTAAAAAAAAATATGAATGAAGCAGGTAAAAAGTAATGATCAGGTTGTGAGTTCAAAGGCCTCATAATCATAAATGTCATAAGGTTAATTTGCAGAATCCTAGACAGCATTCTTAGAATTAACAACAGCACTTTAAAAGTTTTTTAAACATTTTAAACTGTTATTCCAACATCAGATTCTCATCGGAATACTCACACTGCAATTAAATCAAAGATTAGATTTAGCACCCCACATAACTGTCATCCATTTCTCAATGTTCGTCACTGATAGTTCTTTGTGCAAATTCCCTTCCCTGTTCCAATATGATCTTGCTTAAGAGTAACATTCTGAAACCTGATCCATTTTTTTTTTTTTGAGAGGGAGTTTCACTCTTGCTACCCAGGATGGAATGCAATGGCACGATCTTGGCTCACCACAACCTCCGCCTCCTGGGTTCAGGCAATTCTCCTGCCTCAACCTCCTGAGTAGCTGGGATTATAGGCACGCGCCACCATGCCCAGCTAATGTTTTTTGTATTTTTAGTAGAGACGGGGTTTCACCATGTTGACCAGGATGGTCTCGATCTCTTGACCTCGTGAACCACCCGCCTCGGCCTCCCAAAGTGCTGGGATTACAGGCGTGAGCCACCGTGCCCGGCCAACCTGATCCATTTTTAGCCTGACCTCCAGGAAGCATCTTGTATGAAAAGCCATGTGTACATCATACATAAGATGACCCCAGAATATTGTGTGGGCCACCATGGGAGGTGATGATATCACCAAGGTGGTGACGGCAGTGGCGGCAGCAGCAGCAGCAGTAGGACAGGCTCCAGATATAAGATGCAGGAGAGCTGTTTGCAGTGACTTCATCATACTCATCCTCACTTACATCTCTAAGGGCACTTTAATACCTGTAGGACATTCTTGTACCAGGATTATGTTCAGACAACTTTACGTCATTTGAAAATGCATATTCAGGGGAGAAGACACAAACTATGTTTTATTAGAATAAACTGAAGCACGGAGATATTTTTAATATGCTAAAAGCTGATGCTGATTGCCATTTATGCTGAAAGAAAACGTAAATAGTGCACAGAGGCAAATCTGCACAAAACTAATCAGGCAGAGTGTGCACAAATTTGGGAAGAACATCTCCTCACATGTTACTAAAAATAATTCTCCATTATCATGGGTGCCACCTTCAGTACTAAAGCTGAATAACTTCTAAAAAAAAAAAACTGTAAATATTATTTGAAAGTCGGAATTCAAATAACCATGAATTCTTAACTTTAAACATAAAAAGGTATGCAGGTGGGGAGTGGGCCGTATGTGTGTATGTGGTTTTTTTTCATTCTTTTTTGAATCAGAGTATCACAAGTCAGGAGGATCTAGTTTACAACGTCCTTTCAGTTCTCAAACCTTTAGATATGTTCCTTTTATAGTTTAACTTCTTATCTTTAAATAATTTTCAGACTTACAAAAAGGTTAAGATTACCAAAAAATTTCCATTTTCCCTTAACCAAGATTCCTCGAATGTTAAACACTGCAGAAGGATGCTCCTTTATCCTTAAACAGTTCAAATGTTTTTTTTTAAAACAGGACATGCTCTTAAATAATTATGTACAAATATCAAAATCAGGAAGTTAACATTCATTGACAAAATACTATGATCCAGTCTATAAACTTTATTCATATTTTTCCAATTGTCCCAATAACGTCCATTATATTAACAGAAAATCCTGGCTTGTGGGTTCATTCAGCTTTTCATGTCTCTCTAAACTCTTTTCACCTAGAACATGTTCTCATCTTTTTTAATGTTTCATGATATTGACACTTTTGAAGCTAAAGGCCAGTCAGGTTGTAGAAATTCCTTTGCTGGAGCCTGTCTGATGTTTCCTCGGGATGAGATTCAGGTTATGCTTTCTTGGCAGGAGTTATCAGAGATGTGACATTGAGTACTTCTCAATGTGTCCTATCAGGAGGCAGGCGGTATCAGTTTATCCCTTTAGTGGTGATAGGGATTTTCAGCACTTGGTAAAGTGATATCTGATCAGTTTCTCCACTGCAAAGTTACTATGTTCTTTTTGTAATTAATAAATATCTTATGGGGAGATACTTTTAGACTATGTCAATATCCTGTTTCCATTAATTTTTTACCTATTAGTTTTAGCATTCGTTTTTTAATTCCTTTCCAGAACTTTCTAGGTAAGTTTAGCATTAAGCTTCTTTTATCTAATCTCTACCTTAACAAATGGATATCCTCTGGCTGAAGTGTGGACACTGGCTGTACCATTCATTTGGTAAGTGTGGATGGTCCTCTGAAGCATGGTTAAGATCTCAGGAACACACTCATTCCATTCTCTATGTCAAGACCACCAGAAGGAAATCAAATCCATCTTTTTCTAATATGACAATGGCAGTGTACCCTTGAAGGATATTATGCCGGCAGGTAAGAGCTGTACAACATTCCCTGTCTCCAGCACAAAGGAAACAATGCAGTATTGTTACAGGGTTTTAGATCGAAATTCCCTTATCTCATGGTTTAAAGAACTCATCTGGAAAAAAGTAATATATATGTCCAGTAGCAAAAATATACACACTACTTAAACATTTTTCTTTAAAATATTTCAATTTTTCTTAGAAAAGACAGCCCTCTCCACCTCCAGTTCCCCCATAAAAGTGTTTTCAGGTGAATTTTTACCCCCCGCTTTTATTCATCCACTTCCCCCCACCACCTTTAAAGCTTTTTTCCTCCCCTACTCAAGACCTTACATCCTAGACTGGAAGCAATCTGGAGAAATCTGTTAGAAGGTGAGGGGAGGGATGAGCGCTCTTCTAGCCCTAGATTCTATAAAACTGTCCTTACCTGCTGTGGAAAACAGGTGCGGACTGAGTGCTCTGTGTAACCAAAAGATGGCCCTTCAAAGACCGCTGTTGGGAGCTTCAGAACTTCCTTCAGAAACTGGTCAAACTTGCTAAATATCATTAAGCCACTGGAATCTGACATCTGGGAGAAAACATCTATGAGAACAAAACCAAATAAAGTCAAGCTGTAAGGAAACATCAGCTTTTATAAATGGCCGTATGTCATTTGTATACCATGCAAAAAGTATTATTAAAAAATAAGATTTAAAAGGTATCATAAAATTATTGTGACTTTTAGTTACTATCAAAACTATTCTCATCCTTATTAGCACTGTGTGGCTACCCTTCAGTCAAGGCCCCTCTCTTCCACTCACTTAATATTCTACCTAAATATCAAATCGACCACTCATGTATGACTACCTACTCTGTTTGACTATATAAAACTAGATGATATAGAACTTTTATTTATACCTCACTTTGTTCCAAGAAGAATTTGCAGCAGCACATCTTTACCTGTTAGTATCTCTACATGAGTTTAAATAAGATACATGTATAATTGAGTATATAAACGTATTAGCATCTTGGTAATGGGGTATGAAAGAAATTATATTATACACATATATTCTATACTAATGATGTAATATATGCCTGTGAAGAACACATCTGAAGGAGTCATAAAGCATATTTAAAATATTTATCTAATGAGTTCCAAAGGAGAATAAAAACTCATCTAAATGCTTGTATTCCAAGACACTTTGATACTGTAAGATCCTATTTTTATATTAAGGCAGGTCAAGCAGATGAAAAAGAAGCTTCCAGTAATACTACTACAACTTTATCTGCTTGCAGGGAGTTCCTGTCTCTAATCATTCCTATCTTCTCATCCATAACTGGGGAGTAAAAGAAAAATAACCAGGGGTCAAAAGTATTTGACAAAGAAATATGACCTAGGCAGTTTTTCAATCCATTGAACTTCTTTACAGTCAAATGAGCAAGTCAAATATGCATAGAAAAATAATTTCCTGAGGACTTTTCAAACAGCATTTTGAAGATTCACCCAGCCTGGGAAACATAGTGAAACCTCATCCCTACAAAAAAATTTTTTTAATTAGCTAGGCATAGTGGTGTGCACCTGTAGTCCCAGCTACTCAGGAGGCTGAGGTGGGAGGATTCCTTGAGCCCAGGAGCTCAAGACTATAATAAGCGGTGATCACACCACTGCACTCCAGCCTGGGTGACAGAGTGAGACCTTGTCTCCAAAAAACAAAAAAAAAAAAAAAAAAGGATAAGAAAAAAGAAAATTCATATTCTATATAGTAACAATACACAGGTATAGTAGAGCTCTATATCTAACAGATATATATAACATACATATATACAATCCTTTTTGGGTTCAATTTGGGGGAATTTATATTGAAGCATCAAGTGAAAAAAACCTTTTTAAATACATTAAAGAAAGATAAAATGTTAGGTTATGGATCCACAGCTTAATTTTTAAGGCATTAGAAAAAAAGAAATTACCAAAGGAATGAAAATCTTCAATGTATCCTCTCATGATAGCTACTAGTTTACAGTTGATGGAAAAATATTAAATACCCATACGGGGGGAAAAATCCAGCAAGGAACTAAAAGATCGCCTTAGTAGAAAGTACAATAAATTAACAAATACACATTAAGTTCCTGTTATGTGGTCCAAGTGCAAGCACTCTGTGAGGTGTTTAGAAGCACAATGAAGAAATATGATAAATGGTCCTTATCCCCCAAGAAACTTTCAATGTAGCTGGAAAAATGAGATACACATGAAACAAAGAAGAATTCAGGCTGACTTCAAATACAACAGAAAAAACAGAGGCAAAAAGATATATGTGAAGCCCCACCATGTGCTAGGCACCACTATCAGTAACTATTCTGAGTCTGCCAGTAGCCACATTATCCTCTTCTTCCTTAGTAACAAACAGAACACTAATTTGATGTTGTGCAGGAATGTACCAACTAATAAGCTGCAGGTTCCCAGCAAGTAGTGGTCATGTGACTAAGTTCTAGCTAAAATGAGCTTGTAGGCACAAGGGCTGTAGGGGACTTCCAGAAAACTAGGTAAAGAAACATAACTGAGCTAAAAAGCAGGTCATTTTTCCTTATTCCTTTCCTCCTTCTTCTATCTGGAGTGCAGCTATGATAGCTGGAGCTCCAGCAGCCATCTTGGACTATGAGGTAATCTCAATCTTGATATAGAAATCACACTAGAATGGTAGGGGGAAAAAAAAAAAAAAGACAAGAAACTGTGAATCCTAGATGAACATGAAGTCACCATATTGGCCCTGGACTACCTACCTCTGGACTTCTTTTATGTAAGAGAAAATTAAACTTCAACTTTAAGATACTATTATTCTGGGTTTCTGCTCTCATGTAAGAAATTATAATACTAAGCATTATTCTACTATTACCATTTAGAAAGGTTAACTTACTAAAGGTCAAAAAGTTAAGAAGCCAAATCAAGTTTAAACCCACACCTATCTTACTCCAAAATAAATACCATAACACCACACTCCTTCAAAATATGATTTAGAATAGATACAAAAACATATCAGCAGGAATTGTCAAGTTCTAAAAGGAAGGAATTTGGAAGCTAGGACTTGAAAGATAGGATCTGGAATGATGAGGTCAAAACAGGTTGAGGCAAGGGGCTGGAGGGCACTAAAGAGGAGGAGAATCAAAGTCTCTGTGACAGGAATGTGCAGCGTGGATCTCTTACTGGCGATAAGCAGGAAATAGGGCATTGAAGAAAACATTCTATGATAGGCAACTTATATTGAGAAATAAAGAAAAATAAAGACTGAACAGGAAGAGTATTTCTGTTATAAAAGAAAACGCTGAAAGAGGGACGCTTAAAAACTTTTAAGAAGAGATCAAATTTTTAGAGAGCTAGGTTTCAAGGAGATTAGACTGTTAATGACCAGCACACAATGAATAAAAGAAAAAGAATGGAATTGGAGACACCAGTTAGGAAACCTTGTAAACAATGCACAAAGGAGGTGGGGGAGCCTGGATTACAGTGGTGACAGTGTGTGCGGGGCAGCGGAGGCCAAGTCCAAGACATTTCAATGCAAAGAACTGCAGTTGATGACAAACTAGATTACAGAACAAACGAAGTTTAAAACTTAGTATTATTCTAAGTTTCTAGCTTGGGAAAATACTGATAAATCCTGACTAACATAAACAAACTGAAGATACAGATATTATACTTCGCTTAGGACATACTACACTTCGCTTCGGACATATCTGTTTAACTAACTAGCAAATTTTCAAGCGGAACCACCCTGTAGACAGAAACAGTATTTAGTCACAGTTCTAGACTGCAAATAGAGAACTTAGAAAATGCCACCAATGATATGAATAAATGATGCTCTTCAAAGGAAGGAAGAACATAACTGATTTAACCTTTAAATAGCTGGCTGCTAGTCAGGTGTAGTGGCTCACACCTGTAATCCCAGAACTTTGGGAGGCCTAGGCAGGAGAATTGCTTGAGCCCAACAGTTCAAGGTCAGCCTGGGCAACATAGCAGGACCTCATCTCTACAAAAAATTAAAAAAAAAAAAAAAAAAGTAGCTAGGCATGGTGGCAGGCCTGTAGTTCCAGCTACTTGGGGGACTGAAGTGAGAGGACTGCTTGAGTGCAGGAGTTGGAGGCTGCAGTGAGCTATGATCATACCACTACAGTCCAGCCTGGGTAACAATGCAAGACCCTGTCTCAAAAATAAATAAATAGCTGGCTGCTATTCTTACAAGGAGGAAAATAATCATTCATTAAATCTGAATGAAAACAAAGGACAACATGGGAGGTGGCAGACACTGCCAGGTGCCTACTTAGTATCTTCTTCCCCTTCTACTTTCTAGCTGATTTTGACTGCTGGGAATGGCTGTGTGCCATTTACAAATGACTTCTCAGCCTCCTTTGTACATTGCAATGCAAGTGTAGATTTCTGGAAAACCCTTGGCTTTCCTAATAGAAGCACCTCTTTCTTCCTTCTGTCTGAAGTAAGTACAGAGGCCTGGGACACAGCAGTCATCTTTTGATCCTAAGTAAGAAAGCCATATGGCAGCAGGAAGATGGGAAGATGTGAAGTCTATGATGACAACCATAAGTCAGGGTACCAACTTTGAACTGATATTATCAGCCTTTGGACTTACTTTTACATGAGAAAAATGTCCCAATGTGCTCAAGCCACTGTCAGTCAAGTTTTCTATTGCCACTCTGTGTATTCATAACTGATTAACTGAGGAGTAACTAACTTGTGGCCGCTAATGGTGTAAATATTCAGGACCAGTGACTTTAGCGTCCAAGTATATGAATATATACACATATAGCTTCACAATCACAAAAGTGTATATATATATATACACACACCCACACCAATGAATCTACACCTAACCCATTCAGAGTGATAAAAAGGAGTAACTGGATAGTAAAATGACTAACCACTCCCACAAAAAAGCATTACTTCAGTTATACTTAGTTACTATGTCATATGAATAGATTCAAAGGAATGAAAAAAACTTTTTTAATTAATAAGAAACTATAATAAGCCCATACCACAATAAGAGAAGTAGAAACATATCTATTTGTTTTAATGAGACATACTGCTAGACCCAAAAATTGAAGGCACAGTACAGTAATTCATTACTTCTTGAGTTATTGGTTTAAAACAGTATTTTTTAATGAATAGGCTTATCTGTAAAAAAAACAATTTAAAAATGATTGCTAATTCTTAAATCTTAAATGAAGTTTAACAATCAATCTAAGTTACTGTGATTTACCTATGTACGTATAAAAGGATCTTACCAAAGAAGTGAATAATAAAATTTAATGAAAATATTTTTTAAAAAGTAAACTAGTACTCTAATTAAATAAAGCCCTAAACCCTCCTGGCATTAAGGGACTACATTACTTCCCACATACCCAGTTAATTTCCCCAGTAATTCTCTATTTATACACCTCTGAAAGTATGCTAATTCCCCAATAGTTATTTCCAGCTAAAAAGGGAAGCTTTCTCCCTTGTGAAAAACCCACAATCAAGCCCTTAAACGTACATGTGTACACAATTTTAAAAATATTCTATATCTTTTGTGTGATACGCAAAATAATGCTACTGATCCACC